GCCCTTAAGAAGACAGTCAGCCTGTCCTTTGAACATTTGAGATGATGATTAATATGGCATATTCTGCTTTTTCCACATTGAGAATCTATTATTTAGTGTAGCCACCTTCATGAATTATCTTAGCTACATCTTCTGGAGAACTTTCTGTAGCTTCTACACTAGCACTTGCTGCTTTACCTTGCACTAATGTTATGGAGGTGACTCCTTTCTTTAAACCTCATGAACCAACCTCGGCTAGCTTCAAACTTTTCTTCATATTTTTCTGTTTTAGCTTCAAATTCTGCAGTTTCCTCACCTTTCTCACCCTTCAGAGAATTAAAAAGAGGGCCTTGCCCCGGATTAAGCTTTAGCATGAGGGAATGTTGTGGCTGATTTGATCTTCTATCTAGAACACTCAACCTTTCTTCATATCTGCAAGAAGACTGTTTCACTTTCTTACCATTCGTGTGTTCAGTGAAATAATTTTAATATTAATTTCCTTCAAGAACTTTGCCTTTGCATTCACAAGTTGGCTAATTGTTTGGCACCAGAGTCCTCGCTTTTGGCCTATCTTGACTTTCAACATGCATTTCTCACTACGCTTAATCATTTGCAGCTTTTTATTTAACATGAGAGACTTGTGATCCTTCCTTTCACTTGAACATTTAGAGGCTATTGTAGGGCTATCATCTGACCTAATTTCAATATTGTGACTCAAGGAATAAGGAGGCCAAAGGAGATGGAAAAGATGGAGGAATGGCCAGTCAGTGGAGCATTCAGAACACACACACATGTTTATTAAATTCACCATCTTATATGGATGTGGTTTGTGGTGCCCTAAAACAATTACAAGAGTAACATCAAAGATCACTGGTCACAGATCTCCATAACAAATATAATAATGAAAAAGTTTGAAATATTGCAAGAATTACCAAAATGTGACACAGAGTCACAGAGTGAGCAAATGCTATTGGAAGAATGGCACCAGTTTGATCTTCAAAGCACAGTAAGGTGAAGTGCAATAGAATGAGGTATGCCTGTATGTATTTTAGTTAATAATAATGTATCAATATTGATTTTTTAATTAACAAATCTACCACAATAATGTAAGATAATAATAGGAATGCCTTGGTATAGGCTATATGGGAAATCTCTGGACTGTCTTGGTAATTAAAATCAGTCATCATGATCCAAATTTAAATTTTGTTGTCTTTTGGGGTGCCTGGCTGGCTCAGTCGGTTAAGCGTCCGACTTTGGCTCAGGTCATGATCTCACAGTTTGTAAGTTCGAGCCCCATGTCAGGTTTTGGGCTGACAGCTCAGAGCCTGGAGCCTGCTTCGGGTTCTGTGTCTCCTTCTCTCTCTTCCTCCCTCATTTGTGCTCTGTCTCTCTCTTTCAAAAATAAATAAAAACGTTAAAAAAATAATAAATTTTGTTGTCTTTATAGTAGTCTACTGAAAGAGAGTCATCAATTCTCTCCTTTAAATGCTAGAAATTCTGGGGTTTTGTGGCTAAAGATAATGTAAAGTTAGATTCCCCTCAGGGTGACTGTTATTGACACTTAAAGATTTTGTTTTTGTTGTCAAATATGTGTGTGTCTGGAGGTGGGGATGAAGGTAAAGTTTGTTTAATAACTTCATTTTGGAAAAATTGCTATCCTTTTTGGAGATTTCAAATGTTTCAAACCTAAGTCTCAAGTTTATTCTTGTTAAAGAAAGGCATTTAGTGTTAGGCACTTCGGTTTTTATTTTTTCAAAGAATTCTTAAAGTATACCTTTTAAAATAGTTTATATACTCTCCTATAATTTTGCATTGGTATAAAAGAGATCATCACATCATAAGAGTATTCTCAATCTAACAAAATTATTTTATGCAGGATCTTGAAAATTCTAACTCCCTCACTGAATTGAAAATGCTGTTAGACTTTATTATGACCACTTTGGGGTATTTGAAGTGTCCTTTTACGTTTTTTTCCCATTAACGCCATGGTTTTTTTCTAAGAACAGAGTAAAGTGTTACAATGTTATAAAGACTTTCCCCCCCTCTAACAGCTTTCATATAGCCTGACTTACTGTATCTATATCTGGTAGGGTAATACATTTCCTTCCAACCTCTAGCGTGTGAAGTTCATTTATCTTCCAATCTATGAAAATGAGTTAACTCCTAACAACCTCTGATACTCAACAGAAACACAACTGCACTTTGGAATTGGTAATTCATCTTTATGTCATAGGTTCTTATTTATCACTGCAAAATAGGTGTATAGCAGATATTCCAGTGTTAAGTACTACCAATAGAATTTCATTGCAAGAGAATTGTTTTAAAATCTATTGTTTGATTTTTGATCTCGTTAGCACAGATCAGTTTTTTCCCCTGTATGTTCAGCCTGGAACATTTAAACACAACAATCAAGTGCCCTGTTAGCCTCTGTACAAAATTGTGGTGGATTTACCAAAGTTAGTGACAGTCCCAATTAATAATTCTCTGTCATTCTTAAGAAATCAAGTTTTCTGCATCCTATCTTTAATATTTTTAAAGTAAAGGAGAATAATAATTAGGTTTTAGGGTTTGTTTTTCCGTATTTCTTAAGTCATTTTTACCAAATTAATCCAAGCCTCATTTTTCTAATATGTAAATTGATTGTTAGGATGTACAATAAAAAATCTAAAGTGCTCAGCATAGTTTATTATGCATAGTAATTGTTTCATAGATGATAGCTCTTATTATTTTTATACTGTGCTATGCTCTGGTCCTGCTTCACATGCATGTAAAATAAGAGATGAGTTTGGGGAGATACCTCCCGCATATATTATACTATGTTTGCTTTACTTGATCAACCAAGCCATAGAGGAGTGTGCCTCTTCTTCGGTATACAGAATTCACCGAATATGGAAAGAGTTTGGCATTCTTACTTTATTTTTGGTGAAACAACCTTAGGTCTTTCAAATGTCTTTGTACAAAGTGAAAGTTCTAAGCAAAATATAGAACGATGATATTATTTATTACCGACAGAAACAGGCTTCTTTGAACATTCTATGCTGAAATGACTATTTAATAGTGTGATTCATAGAAGCGTTCTAGTCCAAAGCAAATGCTTGAATGAAACAGCATTTATTTTATTAGGCAATAGTGATGTGTCTTTTATTGGTTGGACTCTGGTAAACGTTTGACAACAAATGGTACTTTACCCAAAGAGACACGTATCGTGCATCACATAGTCTAACCACAAACATTAAAGGTCTATGTAACTGTGAGCCTCAAGTGGAAATACAAAAGACAGTTATCATAGAATCACATATGATTTAAACCAGTCTTTTATTTAAATAAATAAGCATAGCAAGTTTAGGTGAGTCTAAAGGCTGCATGTCACTATGTATGTAATGCAGAAATTGTGGAGCACATAGAAATCTATTTAAATATAAAGCAACAAAGCATTTCCACATTACCTTGTGTTTAGAATTCCTGTTATTCATAAAAACTTTTATTTTTTCAACAAACATTTTTCTAAGAATGGCCTTTTCTGTTTACCCCAGGAAAACTTAATATTTATAATTTTAAGGTGATAGTCACAGCCAACTATTTTATTTTTGAAATGTTTATTTTAAACATTTAGCCATTATTTATATATGAAACTTATGGTAGCAAATAAAATTCTAATCGCAATAGATGATAAAGACAAACAATTTTCATCTCTCAGTTCTTTATACAAAAATAGATTTCAAGAGGTAATATGCTTAGCTTCAGAGATGTTTAAAGTTTATATTTCATTTTGTGACTCTATTAAGTTAGCTGTCTCTTATCTGAGTTGTCTAAAAGATGTAAGCTTAAGGTTAGAATTCTAGAAAAGGGTTTTGAGAAAGAGGATAGAAACTTTAAGAACCTGTTTTATACTTAAACATGGCTGTAAGTATTTTCATATACTTACAATATTTACTTACTTATAATATTTTCATTCAAATAGCCCTTCACAAGTATTTGATTCCCTGCCAAAACATCCTCACAATGCCTCCCCAAACCACCTCATTTTAGTAGATTTTATTCCTAGCAGGTTTCTCACAGGAGTTTTCAAGGACAAGAGTTAGTTCAGTTAGTATGGTCATAGCCATACTAGAATATTCACTTTAATTCTAGAAAACTTTCCTAATGAATTTTCTGTAGCAAAAGTGCTAAGGGCTGGAATTCCCCCTCTGAATTTCTTCCTAGAAATGAGATTCAGAAAGCATAGGGGACTCCAGCCAGCCAGTCTGAGGACTTAGACAAGTGTTTCTTGTCACAGAAATAGCTAGATGTCTACTGTAATATCCTCATTTGATAGGCTCACATGTTAATGATGGACAATGCTGATTTGCTACAACCCCATTAGTTTCACATATAAGAAGAACCATCTAGTTTTCAAAACTGAAAGTTCTATGTACTGTAACATGATTTTTGAAGTGATTGGTGGTGGTACAACCTAAAAATGTTTAAATAAATTATAAAATTCAGAGTGATTTTTAAATAACAGCATAAAAATAGTATAAAAAAATTCCAAGATGACCATAAAAGACATAATAAAATTCAATTAAGTTTAGCTTAGTTTGAGAATCCTTGTCCCCCTCCCACACAATGTGGCCAAATGTACAGATAAGCACTTAATATAGGCATGATGATTATTGTGTATTGAGCCAAAAAGCATCACTACCAGTTGTTCTCAAATGTCCTTAGGCACTTCTGAATTTATAGGAAGGCAGACTGGTTTAGCTCTCAAAAGTGAACATTTTCTTGATTTTCCTTCTTGAGTAAAAAAAAAGCAAAAAGAGTGAGAAACTGAAAACTGCAGCCCACCTAAGTTTAATCATTAACAGTGAGTTCTTTGGTGAACTTAGGTCCTCATTTTGGAGTTTGGAATCTGACCTTTCCCCAAAGATAAACACGCTTGTTGCAGGTTCTGAGGAGGGTCACTCCCTCATTGCCACCAGAAGAGTCCACTTCTCAGTGACTCCTGGCTGGGAACTGGATGCATTAGAGGGTAGCTAGTCAATATGATTCTTCTTGCTGTGCTTTTTCTCTGCTTCATTTCCTCATATTCAGCCTCTGTTAAAGGTAAGTTTGTGTCACCGTTTGCTTAACTATAATTTTAATCACTGAGAGGAAAAAGTGTGTGTGTGTGTGTGAACAGTGAAAGAGTTTCTAACTAAATCGTCTTCAAAACTACAAAACTTTGGAATACTTGTGAAGGCATGACTGGATTGGAATGAAAATCAAATTCAAATTCGTACATACATTAAGGAAACAGAGGTCCCTTTTAGTTTCAGTCCCTTAGACTAATGTGCTCCTTGCTTCAATGTCTCATTCATGGTCTATTTTTAAAAGGGAGAAAAGAAATGCCAGCTATTGTTACCTGCTGCTGTTGGTCACTCACTGAATGCAGCTCCTTCATTTGAATTGTAAAAGAGGATTTTAAAAAAATCAGTTTTTAAATTTTCTTCTAGTTGCTTAGCAATGTGACATCAAGAAGCATTAGGCTCAAGGAAACAGGCATTTGATTTGCCAAAGAATTATGAATGAAATAGTAAAGTATGTATTTAATTGCATTGCCATTCAAAAGTGAGGATTATCATAAGTGGTGAATTAAAGAAAATAAAACTACATGGTATTGATTTAAGAAATAAGACTTATTGTCTTTGGATTAATAGTGTTGCTAGTTGTAGTTTCTACTTTAAGATAAAGTTGATTTTTAAAAATACATATGAATTGTATACCTTTCAGAACAAACATATTTTATGATGGTTTATCAGATGGTTTATGATGGTTTATGGGATGATTTCTAAAAACTTAATGAAATGTATTATTATGGAATCTTCTTTTAAATCAACCAGAATGTAAACAAACTCCTTGGATTTCTAAATGTTGCACCTGTAAAAGAAACACTTTTAGAGTCTCTTACGAGGATACACTGTCAAAACCAGTTGATCTAACACATCACTTAACATGCATGATAGGGTCCAGTTTTAATAACTATGTATACTAAGTGATACAAAACAATTCACATTAAACTTCTAAAACCCTTTTGGGATAATTATATTTTCATAAGTGAAATTTGTCTCAAGATTACTCGTGTGGAAAATTTCCACATGAGGAGAGAAGACAATCTTTGTTATTGAAGCAGAAAAACGCAGGGCTAAATTTAAATTATTTTACCTAAGCAAATAACACTTTAGTTTCTTGAACTAAAGATTTGTTTAGTTTCTTAAAACACCAGTTTCTAAAGTGTTTAGTATTTAAAAATACAGTCCTTACTTGCTATTATCTGCCAAATGAATTGTAGACTATTTGAAATATGAGGGATTTATACACCATAATATCAAGCTTAATACCCTTATTATTTTGAGAAAAATAATTGAACTATGGTAGTTATTATATACTTCTATTTTTTCTACTCTATAAAGGAAAAAAATTGGATAACTTGGTGTTTTCAAATACATGCAGTTATAATGACTGAAACACACACACACAACATACAGGACAATGACATACAGGAAATATGGTTTAAAATATGACAGATAGCTACCATGTGTTGTGTACAAACTCAGTAGCGAATCCAGAGTTTTAGAACCTGAAGCTTATGCAATTTAGGGGGCATCTTGAGAAAAAATTGCAAAAATACCTTACTTTTGCAAATGTTACTGAAAGAAAAGATATGGCATGTGTGCACATTGCTAGGGTGCCCTTCCAAGATCTTGGAAGGAGCTTGGGCAAGTGAGGGCCCCAAAGCTTAAGCATCATTAGCTTCACGGTACAAGCTACCTATACCAAATATCATAAATAAAAAGTATAGGACTTGGCAGCTCTCTCTTTACCTGAATGTGATAACTTTTTGTATTACAGTACCATGATTTTATTATAGATTCCTTGCCTTCTGTAATGATTGACATTTAAGAAACAAACTCCTTGTGAAAGTCTATTTTAAAATCAGGCCATGGTAAATTTGGAGATCTCGTGTATCACCTCAACACCCATGTTATATTTAATTATAAATGCAACTGTTTGGCAAATCCCCAGATCTGGGCAGATATTGAGCAGAGGTTGGACTGAGAGAAGGTGGGTGAGATTCGTACAGATGAAGGTCTATTTAGAAGAGATAGGCTGAGTATGAATGTCCTAAAGACTCAAGTTTCCCCTACTTTTTCTCAATCATATTTTGTAATGGTGTATCTATTTTCAGTGCATTCTTCGGGTGTGCTTTTACTTTTGCTAACCTAGGCATGAGCGTTCTGTTTATTAATCTTGTTATCTCTGAACACCACCGATTCCTTTACTTCCAGTCTTGCTCTCAAGTCCCTGGCCTGACCCACGCTTTTCAGTCCATTCACATCAATCACATCTTCCAATCTTTTTCCCTTGTCCTTCATCCTACTCTTTTACATTTTGTCTTAGAGTTTTCTGTTGGAATCCTCAATTCCATTGCCCACCCTTACCACTGTTGCATGCGCCTTTAAGTCTCACCTTGAATTTACCTGTTTCAAAATACATATTTTAAGATATTTCTTTACAGGTTCAAAACCAAGAGTTTTTTGGTGCTTTTAAGTCACTTAAAATTTTTAAATGCATTTGAAGGGACATGTTGAAGAGGTTTTGTCTAAATTCGGTTTCAAAAAATGCCATCCTGTATACTCTATAGAGTAACATCCTAAGAAAGAAGTAAGTCAGCAGTATAAACAGAACATGCTCCCATCGCCAGTGTTGCCAGATCTCTGAATAACATGAACAGAGAAACACTAGTCAAAGAGGAAAGGATGACAGGGACAATATTACAGCATGATCCACTTATTTGAATCATTTGAGGTTTCATCTCTTGTTTCAAGAGGGAAAAAGATCTAGAACAAGGCCTATTCTTTCCTGTGCTTTATCATTTCCACATCATAGTCAAGTTCTGATCTATTATATATTGTCTGCTTTCACATTCTTTCGACTGGTAAAGTAAGAGCAAGGAAAAAATGATCAACATAATACTTTGGAAATCTTTAAAATTTAAGAAAGTCTACCTTCCTACAAACTTTTCATAGTTATTTTAACCAGAAGATATCTTTATGTAGCCCACAAAACTTGGATCTTAGTAAATTTAAACATCAAATTCTGCATTCTATCTGCTATGTTGGGTTGAGAGCAGAGTCAGCTTTTCTCAGCTGTCTATAATGCTTACCTTTCAGAATTGCTGTGAGGATTAGATAAGACATGTTATTTCCTTTATGCCCTCTGTGGAATTCGATAGGCATGATAAAAAGAAGGCTCTCTGGCCAAAATGTCTTTCCTGATCAGAAAATCAATGTTTGAACCTGTAGCAGTGTCCCCAGTTAAAATGTGGAAGAAGTTGAGGTAGGGGAGGCAAGAGGTAGTCATAGACTTTATCTCCTCCAGGGTTTTTCCTGACTTTTTTTTTCTCATTATCATGAGAGAGAGACAGAGAGAGAGAGAGAGAGAGAGAAGAACATGTGAGCAGGGGAGAGGGACAAAGGGAGAGAGAGGGAGAATTTCTCTCCACAACATGGGCCTTGATCCCACAACCCCAGGATCATGACATGAGCTGAAATCAAGAGCCAGACACTCAGCCAACTGAGCCACCCAGGTGCCCCTTTCCTGACTTTCTTTTTGTCTTCTGTATCTTATACCTGAGGTTCTGCCTGATTTGCTGCTTGGACACAGTGTATGTTTGTATGTATACTCTTGGATACTCCCTTCCCACACTTCCTTCTAGCTTTTCTAGATCCCTGTTTCTTGTCTCTGTATCCCCTTGCTTTGAAGGTTTGTCAAAATATAGAACTTCACCACCCAAAACTTTCCTTTTTGACTTCATCTTCTGTAGTGTCTTTCACTGAATTCTGGCCTCTTTGGCCTCCCTGCTGTTCCTCCATTACACCTGCGCTGCTCTCTCCTTAGGGCCTTTAAACTTGCTATTCTGTCCATGTGTGTGGAGGGCTGGGGCAGGTGTAAGCATGGAGATAGAAGGGATGCCCTTCCCACAGATATCCATGTGGCCTAAAGCCTTTGTCCAGACTATTACCTTCTCACAAAGCTCTTTCCCTCACCATTCCCATTCCCTTTCCTGTTTCATTTTTCTTCATTAGCACTTCTAACATTTCTAATATGCTTATATACTTTTTTATTGCTCATCTCCTCATTTAAATGTAAGCTCCACAAAGGCAGACATTTTGTCTGCTTATTAATTAGTACAGCCCCAGAGCCTAGAAAAGTGCCTACCACCCAGGTGCTCAGTCCATCCTTGTTGGATGTATGAGTGAATTCCTAGCTCCCTCCCTAGTAATGGAGAAGAGTTCAACCTAAAGGTTTAGTTGTGTGTAGTACAGGCAAGAGCATGGTCTCTAGAGCCAGACAGCCTGGGTTCAAATCCCGACTCTATCACTAACTGTCTGGGTCATCTTGGGGAAAATGTATAATCTCTATGCCCTTTGGTTTCCTTATCTATAAAAGGAGACTAATAATGGTACTTACCCCACTGGGTTTTGTGAGAATTAAAGAAGTTAATGTACATAAAGCACATTGAACAGTTTATTAGAGACAATGTGTTTTTTTAATTAAAATTTTTTTAATGTTCATTTATCTGAAAGAGAGAGAGGGAGGGAGTGGGGGAGGGGCAGAGAGAGAGGGAGACACAGAATCCAAAGCAGGCTCCAGGCTCTGAGCTGTCAGCACAGAGCCTGACACGGGGCTTGAACTCACTGACTGAGAGATCATGACCTGAGCTGAAGTCGGACATTTATCTGACTGAGCCACCCAGTCAGTTTTTTCCTCTCAACAGGAGACACTATAGTAGATGATGGAGACAGTAGACTTCAGAAGTTTTCTTAATTTTTGGCTTTGCAGAGTAACTTTGTTTTCTTTCTCAGCTGCCTCTCTTCTGGCCTACTCATTTGAACTTCCTTTCCTCGCCCTCCCTCCATACGCATATTTCCTGAGGGAAGAAAAACTTATGGTTGCTTATTATAGTTCACTAGGCAATGCAACCCCATTAGCACTGAGGAAAAATGTATACTGAAATCTGTTTTGACTATGTCCTGTGAGCCATAGATAGAAAATACACAGAGGGTTTGCATGACCATAAACTTCAAATCATCTCTGGTAAAGATTTGATCCTCCTGTGTCACATTTCTTTGGATTAAGGTAAGCTGAATTAGACAATGTGTAAACTGCTTCATATATCAATTATTTTGGCTCACTATACTATTTGACATTAAGCTGCCGATGCTAAATTAAAACTGGTACTAAAATCTTGTGTAGTAAAACATTATTTTCTTCAGGAATAGCTAATTTAAAATTACATATGTATAACCTTGAAATGTACCTTTGTACTAAAAGTTTACTATAATTAAATAAACTATAATATTTTTACTGTAATTAGTAGAGTTAATTGCATTGGGGGGATAGTCTTTAAATATTCAAAATATCCAATTTAAGGAACTGCCTTCTAACCCCTAAAATTACCTTGGCATTGATCTGTTGCACTGAAATGATATATTAGTTACAAATAGTTTTTATTAATTTTGTAAAGCAATTCCTGGCTAAACCTCTACCTGGAATCATATTCATTTTACCTCAATAAAGCTGGAGAGAGAAGAGAAATCACATTCATATAATTAAAAGCAATGCAATGACATTTCCTTAAAAAAACTGTTCTATAGTTCAACCAGAGCGATATTTAGATCATCTGATTATTGATAAAGGATACAAATTAATGTCTGTTCTGAAATGGAAGTTTATTTGTTTGTTAGTTGTTCTTTTCGTTGTTGTTCAAGTCAGTGATTTCAGCAAATGGAGAATAGAACCATCTTTCATTTAGCAAATATTACTAAGGTCCCACTAGGCAGCACTATGCTGGACAAGGAATGCATTGATGGCAAGATAGCACACTCCGTGGCATGACAAGTACCTTACAACTGAGATTTGACTTGTGTCACAATCTTTATGCAGGTCACACAACCGGTCTCTCATTAAATAATGACCGTCTGTACAAACTCACATATTCCACTGAAGTTCTTCTTGATCGGGGCAAAGGAAAACTCCAAGACAGTGTAGGCTACCGAATTTCATCTAATGTGGATGTCGTCTTACTGTGGAGGAATCCTGATGGCGATGATGACCAACTGATCCAAATCACAGTAGGTATTTTCTACCAGGCATGCAAAGATTAGATGTCAGCAAAGTCTTTGAGAAATGTTATCATTTGAGAGCAATTGTTTTGTGCTCTTGGTTATATATCCCTTTACTTTGTTATCTATCACTAAAATAAATAGATCTACAGTTTTGGAGTTTTTGCCAATAAAAAGTAATCCGGTCTTTCTAAGTTGTTGAAGCAAGCAAAAGAAGGCATATGCTAGTGAGTAACTATGGTATGATGTCCAGGTCTATATTTCTCACTAATAGGCACATTAAACTATAACCCAGTTGAAATGTTCTAGGAGTGAGGAGTCTAGAATCCATGTCATGTGAAAAACAATTAAGACTACTTTCACTGAAGGAGGAGATAATATTGGAACCTCTCAATTTTCCTGAGTGCCTCCATATAACGGAAGTACCAATGAGGAAGTGAACCCATTCTGTGTTCTTCCTGAGGAAAGAGCCAGGTGCTCTCCTGCATGGCCATATTTGGTCAATTATGACAGTTTAGATTTATGTGTTGAGAAAGGAGGTCAAATCATATGGTCTCTGGGACCTCTTTCAGTTTTAATATATGGTGATTCCATATTTGCTTTCAAAGGCCTAAAGGCAATAGATTTCTCTAGTAAAGTCTGTTATTCTTCTACGTGTTGGTGTGAAGCAGGTACACGGGACCAAGATTTGTTCCATTATAACTGATAAGTAGTTGTTGATAAACTTTATAATGAGGTGTCATTGCAATACATGTATCAAGTGATCTTTGCTTCTTTGGATGTCTCTAATAGCTGTTGTGACTTCCAGGTTGGCTCAAAACTTCATCATCCACCTCTCTAAACCATTTCTCAATAGAACAGTAAACTATTCTGCAGAAAACATTATGTACCTCCTTGTTCAGTAATCAGACTGTTCATCTTTGATTTTGTATATACAAGTGAAATACAATGGGACAGGATTCCTTTCCAAAAAATGGTAAAGAAAGTGAGGAGACCAGGCAGACAGCAATAGTCAAAATGAATAAGGAGAGTGACAGTGACAAAAAAGAGCTACCTTTCAGTCATGATTATTACAAACCTGAATTCACAGATTTATTAAAGTATCAGTATTTTTACCTAATTCAAAAACCTAATTTTCATGTGACTTCTCCATTATTTTAAAGTTAATGGCTAAGTCCTATGAATCATGAATTGAAAAGCAACAGAATAAGTTATGGCGAACCCTGTTTATTGCTTTAGCATTTTATTTTCTAAAAGACTATGATGGAAATAGAGATAGCAAGTTTTTCTAACATGTTTCTTTCCATGATTCCAGATGAAAGACGTAAATGTTGAAAATGTGAATCAGCAGAGAGGAGAGAAGAGCATTTTCAAAGGAAAAAATCCACCCAAAATCATAAGAAAGGAAAACTTGGAAGCTTTACAAAGACCTGTGCTCCTTCATCTAATCCATGGAAAGGTAAAAGTGATTTTGGGGGTCCCACATCTTTTTTCTCCTACTTCAAATTTTTCCTTCCTTCTGTAGTTATTACATTGAAATGATCATGATATCACTACTTTTATAGTAAATGGAATTTTTTCAAGAACTAATAAGTAGAGGTTGCAAACTAAATGCTTCAGAAGTCAATCAAGGTGTTGAATTCACTTATATTTTCTAGCCATTTGTTTCTTATTTTTATGAAAATCTTACAATAGAATCAAGTATTTGTTTATTGAGAGGCACTATTAAAAGGTATATTCCTTATTAGGAAGGATTAGAAAGATATTGTAACACATTAGGTCATCACAGATGATTGTGTACATCATTCAGGAAAGCAGACAAATTGTGAGAATGGAATGATCTAGCCTCATTCGATAAATGATATTAACTCATGAGACTATCAGTATCAGGCTAATGCACAAAATTGAAGCTTTTGAAAGGGCATGTCATTCCTAAGGTAGAGTTGGTGTTTTAAAAAAGTACTTAGAGGTTATTTAAAAATGATGACTTTGAGAAGTATTTTATATATTAAAGAATGAACACTATAACATCCATTTGTAAATTTGCTCAGAAAATTCTGTAAGTGTGCATTACTTATGGTTTGATTGTGATCTATTACAATGGTCTTAATATGTTTGTAACTGAGAAGAAACTGTGATCAGTGAAATACTAGGCATGACATATGTGGGTTTATGACAAGTAGAGATATTATATTGACGTACATAAAAATGTATCTGTAAAGATGTACACTCAGTTTTAGTTACCAAAGTAGAAAAACAGAGGGACCATTATAGTTAAAACTCTACACATCTGCAAAATGTCTCTAGATTCAAAATTTTTAAAGGTGAAAACAAATACTTTAAAATAATGTAAATTTCAGACATGTGATATATTGCTAATCATGATCTGCATTTTTATATAAAGCAGTAAAAGGAATTCTTATGTTGTCACCTCTCCTACAACCAAATGTGAATCCCCATCTCAAGGATGCTTCTCTTCTCCACTTGTCAAAATACTTACCATGCCCTAGGCATTGCTCACAGGCCCTTTCTTTTATAAAGTTCATATCTTTCCAGTCAACTGGAAATAATCACCTCTCTTTAGAATCCTCTTAGCACTTTGTAACTCACTCATGGCCCTTATCACTGTCCTTTTGGTCATTTGTGTCCATTACTAGACTTTGGGTTTTGGTAGAGAAAATTCCCATTCCTCTTTGTATTCTAGCCCCTCATACTCCCCTTCATGCCCTTCCACTCCCTTCCTCTGCAAAACACCCAGAACCATGCCTTGTACTGACTGACCTGGTATTCTAAGAGACTTTCCCAACATTCTCCCAAACCCCATACTCCTTTAGGCTTATTTCTATTCAAGTGTTTATCATAGATGTTTAAATCCTCTCTTTGTCTGCAGTCAGCATTCAGAGTAAGCTCATAGGCAGCAATTGTGTCTTTCACTCTGTATTTTCAGTGTCCTGCTCATAGTGGGGTCTCAATGAATGTAAATTAAAGGAATGAACACATAAAGTTATATGGGGCTAAAATGAGTTGAACTTTGAGAAAGTCTTGGGCTATTGTTTGCTGAATATTAGCTAAATCATATTGAGCACTTCATGTGCACCAGAGGCCGAAGGCATTACATTAGTGATCTCTTTTATCCTCATGACAGCTCTGGGAAGCAGGTGCTGCTTTATTGTCCTCTTGTAATAGATGAGGAAACCAAAGTTAAGAGCACTAAAGAAATTTGCCTAGGGTCACACAACTGGCAAGTGGTGGAGCTGGGATTCAAACAGGTCTAATCTCAGAGGCTAGGCTGGAAACCACATTATACTGTTTTCTAATTGTGAAGTATTTGGGGAAGTACCACCTCTTTGGTTGACTTGCAATATTCCTACTTTATCCTTCAGTATATCTATTAACTCATTTGATTTTCATATGGCACAACAACATGAAATACTATTTCTTCCTCTCTGACCTTCTAATGTGGAAAGACACTTGAGCCCATAAAATATAAGTTGCATTTATAATCTTAATGACAACCTGCCATTTTATAGCCCCTTGGGTAGCAGTTGAGTACAAAGTCTTTTGTTACACACACAAAAGAACTCAGTGCCCTCACTGTTCAAAGGCTGGGATGGAGCTGCCACATCATTATTTCAATGACTCCAACATGCCAATTCTACAGGAGCTGTGATTGTGATGGTTTACGATAGCCTCAGGTTAAAGTGCACTGTGGTATCTATCAATGATATGATAAAGTACCTGTTGGGAAAAAAAAATGACCCTGGAGACTAAGAAGCCATGTGGAGTTTTCAGCCACATCACTGTCAGAGAGATCATTATTTAAATGATCACCTCAGCCTACCATGAGAGGAATTAGGGAAGCAAGGGCTGAGCTCCTGATTGGCAGTTTTATTGAAAAATATTTTCCACTCCAAGCTCAAATTAAGTTTTACTCCCTGAAATTTCTGTGATTTCAGGGATGCTCAACAGCATGTATTTTTTGTCCTTCCAGAGCCCCCTGTTTTAAGCTCCCATATTTACATGGTAAAGGAGAGCCCATTAAAACACTCAGATGCATATTTATTGCACATCATCCTTTTTCCATGCCCACTCATCTTCCCTATATAAGTGTTTGGGCATGGCTCTGGTTTTGTCTACAGATCATAAGTGAAGTTGGACATATGACAGTTTTCTGGTTACGTTGATTAACACTGACAAGCAAAAGATGCCTCAAGTTACAGCATGGATCCTTTTTTGGCCTGAAATGCTAATACAATTAACTGGATAATTACCAGATTTCCATTTCTGGTTTTTTCTGTCAGTATTGATTAAATGAACCTCATGGCTGCCGAGTTGGCCCTTTATTTTGTGTTGTTTCTGGGCATTGATTTGTTCTCTGAATCTGGCAGTATGGCTCCTTCACACACACTGAACCTCCGAAAGAAATATGACACCTTGAAAACCTTCAATTCTTCAAGTATATCTTCACTTGTCTGTTTTCCATTGTGTCATTCCCTAGCTATACTCTCTGTTAGATATATATCAAAGATATATTTAAAGACATAAATCAGCTAAATAGACTAAACAAAATGATAGTCTGTTTGCTAGGATTCTTTTTGCTTATTTTTGCTGTTTGGCCAGAATTTTGCTTTCTCTTATTCTTCAAGAATACATACATTAAGGGGATGGATAGAAGCATTTTTTTTTCCCTAAGGAAAAAATACAATGAATCTCGACTGATTCCACGGTGAAATTAGCCCTCAAAATTTAGCAGGAGACTTTCTATTCTATTCTATTCTAGAATCCTTTTCTTCCTTTCTGCAACTCACCTATCTTCTCCTATGTCTGGTTTCCTTGAGTTAAAGACTTAGTTTGTAACTAGGTGGTGTCACTGTTGCTCTCCGGAAGCTATGTGAGTTTAGATAAGAGTCCTGTGCTTGCAGATGTTCAGAGCTCATTTCAGAACTGGATGAAGTAAATCAGCTTTATGGCATGAATATAATAAAACTTACTTGGTTCTTGTGAAATAATGAATTTAAGATTATTGCTGTGACAGCCACACGGATTGAACTGCAAAGTTCTGACTTACTGTTTTGTCAATTATTGAGAGCCTGCTCAATTCTAATAGTTGACATTTAGCTAATATGGATACCAGAGCTGTTTTCACTTTGGCTCACAATGGTCTGCACTTAACAGAATTTAGGCCTCAAAGATAGCTGTCATACAAGTGAGGAAAAACAGATGTGTCCACTTTTCTAATTTTAGGGAAATGATAGAAATTAATAGAAAACTGAAAAAAAAAAACTCTTTTTGTTTTCTGGTTTATTTTGTTTGTTTATTATTTTGTTTGTTATTTATTTGGTTTGTTTATTAGGGAAAAAAAGTTGTGAACACCATTTTCTTAGAGACCTGGTGGTCGAGATCAAAACTTGATCCGTACACATGGGCCATTGATAGATGAGTACTTAATCTTTTGTGTAGTTGAAAGATTAAATTGGAGAACTAGGTTTCCTGAAATTTTAGGTGAAACTATAAATAGTTCAGGTACATTTTATAGCATGGAAGGAAAGTGAGGATACTAATGATAATCATACAAGTATTTTTACCACTTAATGACTCCTTTTTGCTTTCTTTTTTTTTTTTTTTTTAATTTTTTTTCAACGTTTATTTATTTTTTGGGACAGAGAGAGACAGAGCATGAACGGGGGAGGTGCAGAGAGAGAGGGAGACACAGAATCGGAAACAGGCTCCAGGCTCTGAGCCATCAGCCCACAGCCTGACGCGGGGCTCGAACTCACGACCACGAGATCGTGACCTGGCTGAAGTCGGACGCTTAACCGACTGCGCCACCCAGGCGCCCCTCCTTTTTGCTTTCTAAAGTACTAAAGCCTTGCCAAAAAGTCACAGACCATAGACATATGTGTATTGCCACTAAATGAGTCCTTCTGACTGTATCTGGGTTCAAGAGACCCACTTATGAACTTTTAAAAGTCATGATATCTAGAGATATACTCCCAAATAATTGAAAAGGAGGTTACGCTGTAATTCCTAAAAGGAAAGAAGACCCAGTTTACAAAATAGAACATCAGAAACTCAGCCTTGGAGCTGAGAAATTGCCAGTGATTTGTTTGAGAATATGATACCATGGATTTTCAGACGCTGAGGTCACTATTCCAGTTCCTTTTTAACCTGGACAAATACAATTCCAACATTTATAGGTTCGTTTAGTGTAATGACTAAAATTGATTGCTGGATAAAATACCTAGTAAGTTTGTCACTAGGCAGAGTATATGCAGAAAATAAAAATAGAGATTTGAGACACTTGTTTGGCTAATCCAGACAAAATAGTCCCTTCTAAGGTGTAAGAGTTTCCATATAGATCGAACTGTGTTCAGATTGACATTAATTGAATTCATTGCCAAATTACTGAGCATTCTGTTTTACTTGAGAAATCATGGTTGATTTTAAAGAGAATAGTAAGACATTCAGGATATTTCCAGTAGGAATGCTCGGCTATAATTAGCATAGACCTTGGGAATTTTGACAGGGAAGCTATATCCATCCTCTATTTCTATCTTTTTAAAAAATTTTTAGAGAGACTATGCACACATGTGTGCATGCATGCAAGAGCGTCAGCAGGGGAAGGGCAGAGAGAGAGGGAGAGAGAGAATCTTAAGCAGCCTCCACAGTTAGCACAGAACCGGACGTGGGGCTCGAGCTCAACTGTGAGATCATGACCTGAGCTGAAATTAAGAGTTGGACGCTTAACTGACTGAGCCACCCAGGTTACCCCAGCCTCTATTTCTAAATTGTGTGATGTGTTTGGAGTTAATACTTGGTGAAAAGTGACACAGGCCTTCCAGGAAATTCCCTTTGTATTTATATTCTTGTTTCTTAAACATGACCTAAATTATCAAAATGGTATGAGACATTGTTATCACCCTTGTGCCTATAAATATCAAGGATAAAACAAAGCTAAGGTAAGATGTTTGCTATTTCAGCCAAATCACAGTCATCCCCTCATTTCAACCTCTCTTCCTGCCTTCTAAAGGGACCCAAAGCAGCGCCTGCATCAGGCCATGTCATGCTAGCAATCTCAACCTCAAATCCTCCAACCTTCTTTATCTCCTTATACCCAATGCCAACATGGATGCTCTGGAGAGCCAGAGAAAGTCACCCATGTGGAATTTTGTCCATGGGCATTATAGTCATGTATAGGCCCTTGTCACAGCCCTTAGAGGGTGTGCTAACTCATGACTGTCAAGTGTAATTGCCATTCTCTTTTAAGCACCAGTCTCTTTGTCACTTTAAACATTGGTTAATTTTTGTTTCAGGCAGAGTTATAGGTAGAGAACATGTTGATGTGTTCAAAGAGAATATTCCTGATTTCTCTTCCTTGGGCAATCCTTCTTGTTTTCATAGAAATCCCAGTCTAAATCCGTGCACTCTTTCCTTCCCTATACTATTCCCATCATGTTCAGAGCCTTAATTATCAGTCTCCCCAAATTTCATGTTCTCATGGTCTAGCTTCTTAGACATTTAAATAGCCTCTTTTCACACACAAAAAAGAAATCCCAGCTTTGGAGTAAACAGATCTCTATTTCCCAGATTGATAAGGGTGAAAATCTGAACTTTCATGCCACTTGTTTAACCAAATCTAATAAATGATGCATTTTTGCTTCATTTATGTTTGTCTTTCTCCCTAGGTCAAAGAGTTCTACTCATATGCAAATGAGCCGGTGGCCATAGAAAATCTCAAAAGAGGCCTGGCTAGCCTATTTCAGATGCAGTTAAGCTCTGGAACCACCAATGAGGTACTTACTAATATTATTAAGGATCCAAAATATTATTTACCAATAGTTAACCAAATTGCTTATATGGATTTCTATTTGTAGAAATTTAGTAAAAAAGTTGCTACTATGGTAATGCTCACAAAAGGTGAGTAGGGTGGTTAAGTCTCATTTACATGTGAAACAGATTGCCGGTTACCCCAATTTGTACCCAAATACAGGGTAAAGGAAATTAGAATCCATTATACTAAGGGGACATATAGAATGATTGAATGACAGAGATGCAGAAAACCTTGGGGAGCATGTCAGTGGCATCACTGTGCATCACTATCTCATGGGGAGCTTATTTAAGATATAGATTCCCTGGATTCACTGTGAAGATTCTGATTCAATAGATTAGAGAGGAACTGAGCATCTGTATTATTAACAGTTTTCTCAGATAATTTGGATACATTATCCGTTTGGAGAGCCAGTGGTCTATACCAACAACCCCCTTCATTTTACAGATGAAGAAACTGAGGTTTAAACTAGAGAAGTTAAGTGGTCCTCCCAGTATCATACTTTGAGTCAAAAGCAGAACTGAGTCTAAGTTTCCTGTTCTGAATTCAGCCAACCCACGAATGGGCAAGAAAATCTAATCGCAGGGCAGGGCTGAGGGAATATCCGTTAGTTTGCTAGAATAAAAGCTGGGTGTGGTGCTGGCAGAGACTTGGAGGGAAGGCTCAGAGAAGCTAAAAAGTCTGTATTGGCATACATTTGCCCACACTCAAATTGTTAATGTGACTTATGAGCTGAATTAATCCCACAGGTTTTTAAGGATTTCTAGTTATATTCATCTAATCAAAGAACACATGTACACACACATTCACATCTAGATATGGCATTAAAAGTCAAATCCCCTTCCCACACAATTACCCCTTTTCCAGAGGTTTTGATTATGACCAGGTCATTTGTCCAATTCTCATTAAACTTTAGAGAAATATAGGAAATCCTTTATTATTCCTGGGGCAATAAGAAGGTGCTAGTAAGACTCAGCAAAAGAGGATGGAAAAGAATCCACATGTTATGGGAAGCATTGAGTTCTTCCTGTCTTACCATCTTGTCAGCTTGGACAAAAGGTAGTCCCCCATGGCATCTCAGGAACCCCAGTTTTCAGGCTACTTCCCACTGGAATTCAAATGGTTCATGGGAAAATCCCAAACATTGTATTTTTACTTTTCTTTTTAGGTGGATATTTCTGGGGATTGTAAGGTGACATACCAAGCTCATCAAGACAAAGTGATCAAAATTAAGGCCTTGGATTCATGCAAAATAGAGAGGTCTGGATTTACAACCTCAAATCAGGTATGATTGATATCACTCTCTTTAAGGCATTCAAATAATTACATTTTTAGAGATTAATTTAAAATAGTAGAAGAATAAGGTAACAATATAATTTTGGAATATTTGATTTTTAGTTTAGGGTATTGTTTCATACAATGTCAAATGAAAAGGTTTGTTTTCATATGTTGTACGTTTGGGCGGTGAAGGGAAGATATTAAGGGGAAGCTCTTTTGAACATCAAAAGACAGTTTGCTACTTGACTTGATTCAAAGATAAAAAGCTTATTTTTACAACTACAAATATCTATCTATCTATCTATCTATCTATCTATCTATCTATCATCTATCTATCTTATTTAGGTCTTGGGTGTCACTTCAAAAGCCACGTCTGTCACTACCTATAAGATAGAAGACAGCTTTGTTATAGCTGTGCTTGCAGAAGAGACACATGCTTTTCGGATGAATTCTCTACAAACCATTGCAGGCAAAATAATATCAAAGTAAGATAATGCTGGAATATAAATTTTCTTTCCTATTCTTTTATATATTATCATATTTGGTTTTTACATGTATATGTTAGACATGTTAAATATATATACGTTTTATGTATGTTTAGTGCTTCCTCATTTTGACTGTTAGCTTCTTGAAAACTGTGATTACATCTTGTTCATCTTTATTTTTTCACATCATCTATAATAATGGGATATATTAAATACTTACTGTTTATTTAATAGAATTTCATTTAAAAATTGTATCAATTGTTTATTGAATAGAATTTACATTTAAAAAAGGCAAACTACTTGATAAGTTCTGGTTTATTTTCTAATTTCTCTGTCAGAAGTTTACAATGATAAGGTTAAAAAGTGGTGACGTTTGCATGTTCTCTCCTTGAGATTTTTTTTTGTTACTGTTGTTAAAAAACACATAAAAAATTCCATAGTAAAGTGATATGACAGAATTTTTGTAGTCTTGATTTATAGTACTTACAAATTCAAGCCTGTTATTTCAATTTAAGAAGATTTCTCTGATCAGAAGTTCTCACAGGCTTAAGAACTAAAATTTTCAAATCTAAGAGTATGTGTTCCTTTAAGATTTTAATTTAGAAAAAGATTTTTCTAGCATTAAATGTATTATATCTTATACCATTGCTTGTCAAATGTTTTCTCTGAAATAGCTCCAATATCAGAGATCAGTGGATGCAAAATCTTGGGAGAAGTGCCTCAAACCATAAATGCTTGAAGTATTTTTGAAGTCTCATCTGGATAGAATTTTGCATTTTACTTTGTACCATATTACTTTCATCTATTCTCGTACAAAATAAATATTTTAAAGTACGTACCAGGTCTATCAGATTTCCATTGCTTTATAGCAAACCACTCCAAAGTCAGTGGTGTAAGAAGCAACAATCATTTTATCATTCTCTCATAATTCTGAGTCTTGCGTTGGTTCAACTAAGCATGCCTTGTTTGGCATCTATTCTGCAGTTGCAGACAGGCACTGACCAGAGCTGGTTCAAAGGTTGCTCCCTTGCCTATTTGGTACCTGGGCTGGGAAGACAAACTACTGAGGCTCCCCAAGCATTTCTCTTTTATCAATATGTGGCCTCTCAAAATGGTAGCTTTGGGTAGCCAGACTTTGTACATGGCGGCTCAAGTCTCCGAAGGTACAGGCGCTGCTAGCATTCCAGATGAAGGCTGAATTTCCTTTTAAGATTTATCCTTAGAAGTCACACAGTGTCACTTCTACTGTCCCTCTCTTAGTTGGGGAAGTCACAGAGTCCTGCCCAGGCTCAAGGATAGGGATGCAGACTCTACCACTTGACGGAAGAGAGACACGGTTCTGAAAGAGTATGTATCAGGCAAAAATATCTGTGAAACCATTTTTAGTAAAAAAGATTTCTTAACTGTCTTAGTTAATAAGTGGTGTGTGGTTGTACTGATGGTATTATTTGCAGAAAGTAGGGCTAAATTCAAAAGAGGTGACATCACATATCTTGTTCAGCATCCAGGCAAGTTTTTTTCCCTGTATTCTCTTAAATCCAGACTTAAATTTTCAAATCTTTGAATAAAATTTTTGCTCCAAAAAGACTTCATAATTAACTTGAGGTCTGTTACTGAGATATTGCAGTTTGAAAGATATGGACTTCCATAGTGTGAATAAATTGTTTGCCAAGAGAATGGTAATTAGTAGCTTGTTCACTCAAAGGAAAACTGCTTATGTGGTATTTCTCTTCCTTGTGGTACAGGCAGAAATTGGAGCTGAAGACCACTGAAGCAGGCCCAAGACTGATGTCTGGAAAGCAGGTTGCAGCCATAATTAAAGCAGTTGATTCAGAGTACAAGGCCCTTCCCATTGTGGGACAGGACTTCCAGAGCAAGTGTAAAAGATGCCCTTCTGTAAGTGTGAACAACTGCATTGAGTGGTCGGATAGGGGAATACTCAAGGCTTAAAATTCCGTTTTCTTTTTGTTTCCAATGGAAGCTTCAGTTAATTCTTTGAAGAAAGTTTATAAAGAGCTACCAGCCACCACGGAATTATAATGGCACTATCTTAACAATATGCACCTCAGATGATGTGTAATCCAATGATATTTAACAAATAATTATCATCCACTCATCTCAAGTTAAAAATGTTATGACTTAAGTGAGGGCAGCTTCTGAATAGTAGTACCTAGAATACCTGGGGGGATAAAGGCCCTAATGAAGTTAGGGGAAAGCATATAGTGTCAAGAGCATGGACAGGATCTGAATCCTGAAAGTTTTCGCCACTTAATAGCAATAAATCTTTAGGTGAAATATTTTGCTGAGCTCAGTGTTCTGAGTATTGCTTTGAGAACTAAAAAAGGATGCCAAGCTCTCTTCTAAATTAGGAAACATTTTTCTACCATGCCCCAAACTCCTCTACAATTATAGGCAAAACGAGATCTCACATCTCCCAGGCAAAAGATAGGTAATCTTATAACATTTTAAAATCAGCAAAGAGAAATTTCATTTATTACACGAGTCAGTTGTGATGATGGCTACAGATGTGACCTTAGGATCTAGCATTTCCTAATACTTAACCTCTTGTCAGGAGAGCAAACCCTGAGCATGAACAACAGAGCAACATGCTCCATTGGTAGCTACCAGAAGATTCTGTTCCCTTGGGTTTTATTGGTATTCAGAGAAGTAGAATTATCAAGAACGAATACCATAATTTGCTTAAAGTTCAAGACACTATTCCTTGCTAATTTCAAATTTATCAAAATTGAACTAAAGAAAAAACAGAAAAAATAATTCTCAAATTTTGTTTTCCCTTTAATTGTTTTTCTTCCATATATCATTTAATATTCTACTGTGATTTTCTAATGTGTCATATGGAGGTGGAAATTATATAGGAAAGTGACTAATGAAACCAATCATCTTTTTTAATACTGTGAATTATTAATTTGTCTCCCCCATGGTTATTAAAAAGAATAAGCTGTTTAAGATTTTTGATAATTACTTCTTCATTATCGTAGGAAGCGTTGATGTCTTTGAGCAATTGCTTTTCCAATTTCCATATACTGTCACCATTGCAACCCTTCAAAGAAAAAAAATCTGAATTCACACTAGTGTTCTTTCTGCCCTCAGAAATGACCCAGTAAATATTTAGCTAAGAATAGCTAGAATTTTGCTTTGGAATATCCTCTTAAGATTAGATAACCAAGAGGAGTTTGAAAAAGAGAAAATATGTGTCTATTGCTTATTAGAAGGACTGAATAATTTAAAAAAATCGGTAGCATGCTGATTACCTCAGAATTAGAGAGCTGGAGGTGACTAATGGGATTAAACACATTATTTACAAGTAGGGGAAAAGTGGCAAACTATGAAAAGTCAGTTATTTAGCTTATTTCAAAGCCAGAATATGTCACTAGTTAGAATTATTTACTATTTTTCAAACCATAGTAGAATAACAATAGTAGGAGAATTACTTTTATCTAAATAATACTCTACTTAACATTTTTTTTTTAAATTTTTTTTTTTTTCAACATTTATTTATTTTTCGGACAGAGAGAGACAGAGCATGAACGGGGGAGGGGCAGAGAGAGAGGGAGACACAGAATCGGAAACAGGCTCCAGGCTCTGAGCCATCAGCCCAGAGCCTGACGCGGGGCTCGAACTCACGGACAGCGAGATCGTGACCTGGCTGAAGTCGGACGCTCAACCGACTACGCCACCCAGGCGCCCCTCTACTTAGCATTTTAAGTAATGAGCAGTTCAGACCTCAGTGTAGTTAAACATTGCATTTCATAAAAACAATAAAAGAAAGAGTTAGAATCGGGAGCTCACGGTATTACAAATACTGATTTTCAGTGAGTTCCCTGTAAATAATAAACCTGACACAATTATTCAGCAGTTTTGATTTATTCCCCCTCCAACATATCCTGCTGTTAACGAAAATTCTGCATAGTTCTAGTATGGTAGTCAAAGCCCGGCCTCACACAGAATTTCCTTAGGGTAACCATGGAATGACCTTCTAGGCCCAGAAGCCTGATTTCTTTCGAGCTAAAGAGTAATAGACAAAAATGGTGCTCCTGAGAAAGAATCATACACAGGGTCGACAGGCCTCAATATTTGTCTCCGTGAATCCCAGGAATGTGATACTGGCAGGTAGCAATCTGGCATATTGAGGCGATACAAAAAGCTTCTTTTGCTTGTCAGATACAAGGAAAAATTTGTTTCTGGGGAGAACATCCCTTGTCAATGTGGATGTTCAGAATTATGAATGGGGTGCGAGCCTGCAGCCATGTTTTCTTGCAGCTCTCGGAGCACTGGCAGTCTACCAGAAAACACCTGCAGCCTGACAACCTCTCTAAAGCTGAGGCTGTCAGAAGCTTCCTGGCCTTCATTCAGCACCTCAGGACTGCGACTAGAGAAGAGATCCTCCAGATCTTAAAGGCTGAAAACAAGGAAGTATTGTAAGTTCCCGAATACTGTGTGGCATTGTCTGTAGAAAAGCATTTCTTGGTTATTAGCTTTAATTAAGCAAGAAAGATTCCTTTTATTTATTTATTTATTTATTTATTTATTTATTTTTATATTTATTTTAATGCTTTTATTTATTTTTGAGATTGAAAGCCTGAATGGGGGGGGGAGGGGGGGGCAGAGGATCCAAAGCGGTGGCTCTACCTGACAGCACAGAGGGGCTTGAACTCACCAACTGCGAGATCATGACCTGAGCCGAAGTCCGCGCTCGACTGAGCTCCCCAGTCGCCACAAAAAAAGATTCCTTTTTAACCAACTGCCCAACCTCCAAATCAATTATTGCGTTGTTTTGCATTTTCATCAAACAGTTATGCTTCAATATGGTAATTTAACAGTTACTTGACCAGAAATGTAGTAACAAGGTTTTAACAGTGACTCAGAATGAACATATTTTGAGTGTTTATGAGTTTAAATCAGGTCTAAATTGGTACATACATAAGGGAGGGGAGGGCTTCATCTTGATATGTGCTGCCTCCTGTTTTTGGACCTATTAATTTACATTTGAAGAGATTGCAGAGTTGATTATAAAAACAAAAAAAGAATATGACTTTTTCGATTGAAAAATGAAAAATTTTATTAGAGATCCAATGATCATCCCCATCAAAGCCATGTTTTATATAGAAAATTGAGAATGGAGGTAAATAGTCAAAAAATATAGAAAAAGACATCTGTATGCTACTTGAATGTTTGGTGAAAGTATGATTCATTGCACACACATAGTGAAGAGTTGACTTAATTCTCAAATTAATTTTGTAGATGTAAATATTTTATTATTTAAAAAAATTTTTTTAACGTTTTATTTATTTTTGAGACAGGGAGAGACAGAGCATGAACAGGGGAGGGTCAGAGAGGGGGAGACACAGAATCTGAAACAGGCTCCAGGCTCTGAGCTGTCAGCACAGAGCCCGACGCGGGGCTCGAACTCACAGACCGCGAGATCATGACCTGAGCCGAAGTCAGCTGCTTAACTGACTGAGCCACCCAGGCGCCCCGATGTGAATGTTTTTTGTCTGTAATATAGAATTTGTAAATACAAATTCAACTATATGATACTAATTACCCTCATGATACAGAAAATAGCTTAATTAATTTGACTGTCAAAACTAGCCATTAACATAATCAAAAGTGGAAATTGGCCAACTTACACACACACACACACACACACACACACACACACACACACACACACAGCAACAGCAGCAGCAATAGCGGCAACAGTAGTCACTGAGTACAAAGGACTCAACTCAATTCTCTAAGACGATAATTTAGCTTTTTTTTTTTTTTTTTTTTTTTTAAGAATTCTGTTTATTCTTGAGGCACCTGGGTGGCTCAGTTGGTTAAGCGTCCGACTTTAGCTCAGGTCATGATCTTGCGGTTTGTGGGTTTGAGCCTGGCATCAGGCTCTGCACTGGCATTGTGGAGCCTGTTTTGGGATTCTTTCTCTCTCCTCTCTCTGCTCCTTCCTGACTTGTGTGCACCTATGCATGCATGCTCTCTCTCTCAAAAATAAATAAATAAATAAATAACTTAAAAGTAACAAAGAAGTCTGTTTATTCTTGATTGTATTTGTTATTTACTTGCCTTGAGGACATTTAAAAAAAATTGATAGGAACTCCATATGACTAAACAGAGTTGGTTGCTCTCTTCAAAAATAAATATTTAAACCAGAAATTGAAAAATACACGAAATAATAAATTCTCAGACTCATGTTTTAATCATAGAACTTTAAAAAATATTTGTAGGGTGATTTTTCTTTATAGGAAAGGCAAAGATACTGACCAGAAAAGTTTAAAAATTAGCTATTAATTTAGAATGGAGATTGTATGACACTTTAACCTTATGTGAGTCCTAGAAACCTTCAGGTGGCAACAATTTGGATGATTTCATGATGTATTTTCTAAATCAGATTACAGGTTTCTCCTGCTATCCAAAAGTGGAGACTTCTATGAAACCTTTTGTAACCCGCAATTGTGCAAAGCAACGAATTACCATTAATTTATGTGGCAAATCTTTTGACCATTTCCAGACCCCCAAAATAACTTCTTTTAGGTTTTTCTGATACCTTAGGCCATTATCTTGCTAATGGATGTACACAATACATTGAGAGAAGGCACAGATGCTCACAGATACAGTTCTAGGCTATCGTGACTTGATTGTAAGATGCTGAGTGTGCTTCCCAGGGAAGGGGCTTGGTGGGGCTACCCTCACTGCTCAGGGTCCACACTGCCTCTATAACAGGCTTGCTGCAAAACACGTTGAATGCTATTTAGCTTTTAACCTTTTTTTGGTAAAAGCAAAATTCCTCTTCAGGATTTCTTTTGGTTAGCAAAAACAAGTACTAATGTAGGTCTTTTGTAAAAGCAAAGTAGCCTAACACAAACTTTGGAAAAGCAGGAGATACTTGTATTTACATAATATTGTGCCATATCATATGTAGACCACATGTAGCATAGTGTAATGGAAAGGATGCTAGGATGAACTAAAATCAGAAAACCTCGTTTCTAATTTTGGCTTCCAACAGCATATAACCTTTGAGCAAATTGTTTACATTTAGCTTCTCCAAGTTTCACTTTCAACATCTGTAAAATACAGAGAATAATTTTTTCTGTTTATGGTAGGATAGTGCAAGTCAGGGTGGTAGAATATAACATTTCCCAAAGAGTCCATTGTGTGTATCCTGTAATTTGCAGAATACTAGCAAGTATGGCAAGAGGAAAGGATTCTGTGAGCAACTGAGTTAGAAAAGCGTGGGGTGAATCCAAATCAAATAGTTTTCTTGGCTGTAGAAATTTTCAGCATATTTAATCATATAATATTAGGTGTAAGTTTCCTTAAACATTTTCTAAACTTAAACAGCCTTGAAGATCCCTTTGCTTACAGCATGTTGTAGGACTCGAACCACATGGACAACACTTTGGGAAACACCAATGTATTTAAAAGATCATGGGGGTACCTGGGTGGCCCAGTCAGTTGAGCATCCGACTTTGGCTTAGGTCATGATCTCATGGTTTGTGAATTTGAGGCCTGCGTTGGGCTCATTCCTGTCAGTGCAGAGACTGCTTTGGATCCTCTGTCTCCTTTTCTTTCTGCCCCAACCGCCCCCCTCAAAAATAAATGAGCATTTTTAAAAAAATTACAAAATAGGGGCGCCTGGGTGGCTCAGTCGGTTGAGCGGCCGACTTCGGCTCAGGTCATAATCTCGCGGTCCGTGAGTTCGAGCCCCGCGTCGGGCTCTGTGCTGACTGCTGGGAGCCTGGAGCCTGTTTCAGATTCTGTGTCTCCCTCTCTCTGACCTCCCCCATTCATGCTCTGTCTCTCTCTGTCTCAAAAATAAATAAACGTTAAATTTTTTTTTTTTAAATTACAAAATAAAAGATCATGGATACCTGAGACACCTCAGGTCAGAAAAACCTTGAGTTCCAACTCCAGCTATACGCTTAACACCTATAGGGCCTTGAAGTCTGTTTCTTCATATGTAAGGGGGATATTAGTATTAAACTGACAGAGATGTTTACTCTATTAAGTGAAGTAATTGTTAATAGCAGTGTATTTTTATTGAGTATTTACCACATGTCAAACACTATTCTAAGTGCTCTGCATAGATTATGCAGTCCAGTTCTCCCCAAAATTTGAAAGTAACCACTATTTTTAACCCCATCTTACAGACGAAGAAGTGAAAGCAAAAATTGCATATTTAAAATTTATAGTGCAATACTTACATAATAGGCACCTAATAAGTATTATCTCTCAGTGTCTGCTTCATTCACTAGGTTTTTTGTTAGGAACAAAATGATACAGTGCAAGTATATCATTTTTTTTTTTATAGTATAAAGCACTAAACACATGTACGGTGTGTGTATACAATGTGGAATATACTTACATACATGATATGTTCATTAGCATGACAACTAGTTTCAGGAATTTTACCATCCCAGACTCAACTAACCAAAGATTCTTGATGACTGGTATATCTAATGAGAACTTGCCTATAGGAGTTCCATTCTGCCCACACATAATCATTATGGTTGAACATTGGGATATACCATGGTACTTTTTATTTTTAGAAACAATGGGCAAAATCTTCTCCCTTGGATATAAATTAAAGTTAAAAGAATTTCCTAATAGCACCTGAGTTAAATTAGGCATTTAAGAAATGTATATATTTGTCGAGATCATTAGAGAAAGAGAATCAATATTTGAGACGATAACTCTGATGTATTACTCGTAGAGAAAAGAATTTGAACCTAGTGTATAATTTTTTGACATACAAATTTCCAAATTATGTTTGACTTAGGCTATTATGTGAAGTTAGTTTATATATTCTGAGTATACATTGAGCTAGAGAGCGAGGAATTAAATGGGAGGTTTAAAACAAAATTAGGGGGTCTTTTTGAGGGAATTATTCATTTTTTTGTTTATATAAAAATTTCACTTCTTTATGAAACTTAGATCAATGGAGAATCTGTGAATGGTAGAGATTTAAATAATTCTTTAAGCACACTAAAAATTGATATCAATGACCCCCCTTTTTTGTAGACCTCAACTGGTGGATGCTGTCACCTCCGCTCAGACCTCAGACTCATTAGATGCCATTTTGGACTTTCTGGATTTCAAAAGTGACAGTAGCATTATCCTCCAGGAGAGGTTTCTCTATGCCTGTGGATTTGCCTCCCATCCCAATGAAGAACTCCTGAGAGGCCTCATTGTAAGTCAAATGAACACTGTGAAAATAAAGTTTGTCAGCTGCTAAAAAGTTCATAAGACTCTAAACAGGAATTGGGCTATCTTCCATCCATTAATCATTAACTGTAGTACACTATTTCACATAATGTCTTCTTTGCAATTCCTCTAAATAACATAAACTATACCATATAGAAATATAAAGATTGTATTCACCCATCATATAATGTGACATGGGATAAAATTTCAGAGGAGATGAGTCTTGGTTATGCTTCAAAATTTTATTTTATTTTATTTTATTTTATTTTATTTTATTTTATTTGTTTTTTAAGTTTATTTATTTATTTTTGAGACAAGAAAAAGAAAGCACGAATTGGAGAGGGGCAGAAAGAGAAGGAAAGAGAGAGAATCTCAAGCAGGCTCCACGCTGTTGGGGCAGAGCCCAATGGGGGCTCAAATCGAAGAACTGTGAGATCATGACCTGAGCTGAAGTTGAGTGCTAAACTGACTGAGCCACCCAGGCACCCCCCCAAAATTGATTTTAAAAGATTTGTTTTGAGTTCAAAAGTCTTCACAGCATTTAATATACAATACATTGAAGAGATACAATTCTTCCAATATTAAAAAATTTATATTGGAAATAAAACTAGACTTCTCTTGGGTCCAAGATTTAAAAACAAAATGTGCACTTATCTGCTTATGATCTAGTGGAATAATTCATAATCTTTTTGGAAAGTGAGATCGTTTAAGAACCTGATAAAAGCAATGAAACCCCGGGGCACCTGGGTCGCTCAGTTGGTTGAGCATCCAACTCTTGATCTCGGCTCAGGTCATGATCTCACAGTTTGTGGGTGCAAGCCCTGCATTGGGCTCTATGCTGGCAGCAAGGAGCCTGCTTGGGATTCTGTCTCTCCCTCTGTCTGCCCCTTCCCCTCTTGTGGTCTCTCCTTCTCTTTCTCTCTCAAAATAAATAAATAAACTTTAGAAGAAAAAGAAAAAAGCAATGAATCCCCTCTTCACCCATACACAACATTTTGCAGATCTCTTTTTTTTCCTTTTTTGTTCACTAACCCAGTGAGCTCAATCCATAAACCTCTCAGGAGTTCATAGACTTCCTGAGTTCATAGTTCATATATTAATAAGACTTGCATAGGAGAGATTCTATAAACTCTTCGATTCAAAGTTAGGTAGTGAATTTGCAAGTATCCCCAAATCAAAATTTTGAATTTGCTATCTAGGAACATAAAACATTTCTCTTAGACATTGGTTATTTTGTGTCTTCATTTCTAAAAATGTCCCTCAGAAATGTTTAAATATTTTGATAACCTATTTTATCTCTGTTTGGCTAATAGAGTAAGTTCAAAGGTTCCTTTGCGAGCAACGACATTAGAGAAACTGTTATGATCATCATTGGGGCCCTCGTCAAGAAGTTGTGTCAGAATGAAGGCTGCAAACTCAAAGTAAGTGTGAATCCAATCTTGTGTGTTATATAGTTCCAGATCATTCTATGTCTTACTGAGCTGCCCACCACTGGCCCTCCTATTTCCCCTTACCTTACGCCACTTTCTTTATTTCATAGCAATTATTGTTATCTAACATACCTGATATAATTCCATTATTCATTACATTTATTGCTTATTTTTGTCTTCTACTGAAATCATAAGATCCATGCATAAATGGATCTTTGTCTTGTTAACGCCAATTGCTTAAAATAATATGTGATGCATAATGTTCAACAAATGCTTGCTAAAGAGTAAATAGTCTATTAATCCCTCACCAATTGTATTTACTAAGTGCCCACTATGTATGCAGCCTTCAATGGCATGTATGGTATAGTTCTCATTCTTAGAAAAAATATTAGACTTTAGGGCTATCTCCTAGAGGAGAACTTTATAAGCGTGGTTTGTTTGCAGTTTTGAGTTTTGATGGTGTGAATTTAGTTATTTCTAATTACCGAAAACTTTACATTTTATTTTTAATTTCATTTGCTCAAAGTTTATCCATTTGCCAGAGTGGACTATCAACTTTGACACCTTTCTCATAAAAAACCAAAAACTCACTTTGTAAGCTTAACTAGATGTAGAAAATCCAAATAGATTAGTATCCAATATAGCCTATCTTTCTATAATGCAAATAGATTGAAAATGTTAAATATATAAAAAGTCTTTTTCTGTCCACATTTATTATATAGCCAGCTCATAGTCAGCATTTTTCTTCTATTTCAAAAAAGACGTCACTGTATTATTTTGCTTACAGAATGCTTGCTCTTAAAAATAATAGAGAAAACATTCTTGAAACCAAATGGTTCCAAAAGAGGCAACCCATAACTAGAATGTAAGCTAAGTGTGAAAAAGATTACTAAAAAAGAAATGGCATTGAAAATGTTTGAGTATCAGCTTAGTAAGCTCAGGCAGAGATCAAATTTGTACTATTTCTATGACATCAAAGAACTGTAACTTCTTATATTTTCCAATTTCCACGATTATTTGAGTAGCCAATTTACCTCAGTAATCCTGTATCCAATATCTTGGCTAAAGACAAAGCTCATACCTGAAAACGTCCATTCACATAATTTAATGAACATCTACTCTGTGCTAGATGTGATGTTAATCCCTTAATATAAAAATGCATAAAATATTCTACCATCCTCAAAGATCTTCCACTCCATTTCTCAAATACAAACAAAAAATAATATTGAAATATAAACGAAGTGCTCTGAGAATATGGAATATGTAGCAAACTATTCTGTTTGGGGGTGCTAGGGAAAGTTTCACCAAAATAGTGATATTTGAACTTCGTATAGAAAAGCTCTTTAGGTGAAGAGATGGTAGTATGGAATGAAGGACATTCTAGGAGAAATACAATGCATGAAAAGGCCCAATATCAAAATGGGTCTGGTATGCCTGAGAACATGAGAAATTCTGTGGGGCTGGAAAACAAAGTATTCATATTTATGGGGCAGATAGATGAGAGTGGAAATACAGAAAAGAGGATGTTTATTAATGAGAAGCTAACAAGTCTGGCCTTCATTCCATAGAGAGAAGGGAGAATAGTGCGTTTTTAGGCAGGTGAATGATATGCTTAGATTTTTTTTATTTAGAAAGAAGCAGAGTGTATGGACCAGCTGTGGACTGGATTAGAGTCAGCAAGATTTGATTGGAAATATTTGCAACAACTGGGCAAGAATAAGTAAAGGTCTGAATTAACATAGAGGCAGCAAGTAGAGAGAAGGAGACAGCTTCAAGAGCCATTTAGGAGGTAGAGTTAATAGTACCCAGTGACTGATGGGATGTGGGTGGGTAGTGTGAAAGAGGTAAGAAGCTGGGTGACTATTAAGCTTCCAGGGTAGGGTACTAGGTGTGGTGATGTCAACCACTTAAGCACAATTTATAGAACCCAGTTTGGGGGTTGGGAGGAGGGTAGAGCTATGAATTTGTTTTGGTCATGTTAAATTTGAAGTCCTTTGGGCCACCAAGTTGAGTTGTCCAAAAGGCAGATGGCCATATCCACCTGCAGCCCAGAAGAGGAGTTAGGGCCAGGAACAGAGAGTGGCTGCAACCTTGAGAGAGAATAGAATAGCACAAGAAGGAAACTGAACAAAGGATTAAATGTAAAGTTTTGCTGATAACAGGAGAGCCAAGTTCTACTCACATCTTTAGATTTACCTTGTAGGTAACTCAAAACTATCCACTATCACTGTCATTCAATTCTGTTAATGTTTTTGAGCAACTTTTAAAACAATGCATCTTTGAAGAAAATTAGTCACCAGATAGATTGTTGTAAATGCTCACATTTTCTTTTCAACATTCTGCTATGGAATATTCATCTATCTCCAGCCCAAATCACAGACATATGAATAGGAAGAAAATGATGTACTCTAAGCAAAAATTTAAGGTATCTCCTTACAAGGCATACAATACTTCTACTGCCCAAATGGTACCTGCCATCTGATAGACTACTAAAGATTTTCCAGCATTTGCTAGCATGAAAGCTCCCACCTGCCCTGTGACAGTCCGAGTGGCAGCTGGTCAAGTTTACTCATTGAGTACAAAGCCCCCTATTTCTTTTTTCTATTAGTTTTTGGCGTACATTTCAACCTCCTTGCCTCCTAATTTTGTTTTTCCTCAAATTTGCATTTGAAAAAATTCAAACCTATAGAAAAGTTGTAAGAATAGCACAATTCCACAAACATCTGTGTACCCTTCATCTAGATTTGCCAATTTTCAACATCTTGCATATTTCCATTATGTCATTCTGTTTTATTTCATTTTATTTGTACTTATATTGAACCATTTGAGATTGAGTTGCAGATATCTGGCATTTTACCCCTAAATGCTTTACTTCTAATTACTTGAGTACTATTGCATCTTGGCCCTTAAGATGGACAAAATACGTATGTTTATATTTATATTTATCATATGGTGAGTGCATACTGCTGTCTTTAATTCCGGGCCAGTACAACAAGCTTCTTTCTCTCCTTCCATGCCATAAATTTATCTTCCTTCTCCTATAGTGAGAACTTTGGTGTTCTAGAACATCAACCTGTTGATTCATTTGCTCAGGCCTAAAACGCACACAAAATAGTTTGTGAATTGCTACACCGATATTGCTACAAAAATCAGACTAAATAAAGGTTAAGACTTCATCACAGCTCTTTTGTTTTGGAATATACTAAAGATAGACAGCCAGATGGGGCACCTGGGTGGCTCAGTTGGTTAAGTGTCCGACTTTGGCTCAGGTCATGATCTCATGGTTTATGGGTTCGAGCCCCTTGTCGGGCCCTGTGCTGATAGCTCAGAGCCTGGAGCCTGCTTTGGATTCTGTGTCTCCCTCTCTGTCTGCCCCGCCCCTGCTCATGCTCTCTGTCTCTCTTTCTCTCCGTGTCTCTCAAAAATAAATAAATGATAAAAAAAAAAAAAAAAGATAGACAGCCAGGGGTCCATATTCAGAAGTCTCTGTTATTCTTTTTTGTTTAGTTATGTTAGCAGTTTGATACACATATACATTCCCTGCTGTTTGAATTCACTTTTAGCAATCTTCCATCCTTGCTGATTGAGTTGTATTTCTTGAATATGTGAAATATTGACATGGTTCAAAAGTCAAAACTGCATTTTAAAAGCATTCTCAAAGGGGTCCTGTTCCCTTTCTTACCCCTTCCACCCATTCTCACCAGCCTCCTCCACATAACCAGTGTCAGTTTTTGGTTTCTCCTTCCTGTGCTTCCTAAGCAAATGTACACACACATTTTTACTTATTTTTTCTTTCACAAAATATACACTCTTTTGTGTCTTATTTTGTCCTCCTAACAACATACCCAGGAAGTCATCCCATACTGTTCTCAGAGATCTTCCTTGTTCCTTTTAGCAGCGCTTAGAACTGCATGTGTCGGCATACTAGTGTCCTCAGCATCTCCCGCCTGTGGTCAGTAGGTGGTTTCTACCATTTTGCTGTTACAAATAATGCTGAGATGAATAATCATAGGCACATTTTTTTCTCGTTTTTGGAGACATAGCCTCAGGGCTGGGGTTGCTGGAACAAAATGCAGATATGTTAGCTTTTGCCAGTTACCTTCCTTAGGAATTGTATCATTTTATGCATCCACCAGTAATGCACGAGAACGCCTATTTCCCCATAGCCTCAATAGGAAATTGTCTTATCAAACTTTTGAATCTTTTAATCAATCTGATAGTTGAGAAATGGCATTTCTCTTATTACCTGTGAAATTTAGTGCCTTTCCTTCCATTTAGAGACCTTTTATATCTTCCCCCACTCCTATCCTTCTCTGTCTCTCCTCTGGTGTGTGTGTGTGTGTGTGTGTGTGCGCGCGCGCTCCCTGTAGCTTAATTTCATAATTTCCAAATCCTACAGATGGATTAGATTTTAGGACTCTTTAAAGATGAAACTGAAGCCCCTAAAACATAGATAGTGACAAAAACCAGAATCTAGGTGTCCCTATTTTTACTTTGCTTTTCCATTGACTTACTACTAACTTATACTCAATCATTTTTTTTCCCTAGGCCAGGAAAAGGGGCCTTTTTGATTAAAGAACATATGTGAAAAGTACCTAGCAAAGTATCTGCCATATAGAAGGCATTTCTCTGAAATATTTTTTGAACTGTATGGCAGCATTAATCAAATTTTGATTCAAGTGGAAACAAGCCCTTTTTAAACATTGAGAACAAGACCTTATGGTCAAGTTCTAAGTATTTTCACCAAATTATTACTTAAGAAGACGTACGTGGCATCACTTAGGTGCCATTTAATTGTTGCTTTAGAAATTCAATGAGTGGATAGTTTTACGAATAATCGATCACAAAGGAATTTTAAAAATGACTTTATACATTCAGAATGTGTTCGAAAGTAAATATACCTATTTTTTTTTAGTGTTTACTTATTTACTTTGAGAGACAGCAAGTGCGCATGTGCACACAAGTAAGGGGCAGAGGGAGAAAGAGAGAATCCCAAGCAGGCTCTGTGCTGTCACCATAGAGCCTGATGCCAGGCTCAATTCCACAAGCCATGAGATCATGACCTGAGCTGAAATCAAGAGTCGAATGCTTAACTGACTGAACCACTCAGGTGCCCTATATATCTATTATTAGTTGTATAAATTGCTTCTTATGAATATGTTAATTTTTGCATTTCTTAAAAAACAGAACACCTTTATAAAGTATACTTATTCATTTTTATTGTGTGTCTCAGTCAGGCAACTAGTGCAAAACTTTCTAAAACTTTAGCCTGTTTTTGGAGTGCCTGGGTGGCTCATTCAGTTGGGCATCCGACTTCAACTCAGGTCATGAGCTCACAGTTTGTGGGTTCAAGCCCCACGTTGGGCTCTGTGCTGACAGCTCAGAGCTTGGCGCCTGGTTCAGATTCTGTGTCTCCCTTCCTCTCTCTGTGCCTCCCCTGCTCATGCTCTGTCTGTCTCTCTCTTTCTCTCTCTCTCTCAGATAAACATAAAAAATAAAATAAAAATTAAAAAAAATAAATAAAACTTTAGGTTGTTCTCTTAGGTCCAAGAGTGAAGCCAGTGTTGTCCAAGCCTTGTGTAATTTGTGGTCGTATGTATGTTTGAGGTAGTATGTGATTTTTTTAGGCAGTGGTAGAAGCCAAGAAATTAATCCTAGGAGGACTTGAAAGAGCAGAGAAAAAAGAGGACACCATGATGTACCTATTGGCTCTGAAGAATGCTCTGCTGCCGGAAGGCATCCCACTCCTTCTGAAGTTTGCAGAGGCTGGAGAAGGGCCTGTCAGCCACCTCGCTACCACCGCTCTCCAGAGATACGATGTCTCTTTCATAACTGATGAGGTAAAAGAATATTTGTAACATAAACAAAAGAAAAGAAGCATGCCTAAACTTGAGTCAAACGTGAAGTTCTCTGAAGTCATCCTATTTTTTTTTTTTCCCAAACTGAGGATCTCTCTTTCCTGTTTAGAAATAACTCTTAAATTGAATTTAAGGCTATTTTGAAGCAGCCTCACATTTTGAATAGATAATGTCCCGTATCCTGAAGCATAAATATTGAAGCACATTCTCTTATTTTAAGAAACAAACTCTTTCCAGAAATATCTTTACTTCCATAAGTTTTAAGATGCTGTTAAATTTTCAACACTGAAATATCCTGGCTTAAGGATTACTGTGGTGGTTCCTATAGCTACATTTTCAGGAAGCCATCTAAATTAAACTTTTCTAAGAGCGGAAAAGTCTATAAGCCTCAAGATAAGCTGTCTGCTGAGAATGATATTTCCGGTTTGCAGCTGAGAACCCTCCCACTGCTTTTGTGTCAAAGTCGGTAGGCTGCAGAGCATGATGGCTAGGGCCACAAGTGTTTGAGACAGACAGACCCACAAATAAATTCTGGCTGTTCCTTCCCAGTTGTTTTGCTCAGGTTAGTCATTTAACTGCTATATACCTGAGAACAAGGCCAAGATTTAGGGGAAATAAAAAAAAGCAGAGGGAAGTGGGAATTGAAAGAACTGTTCAGAAATGCCTAGTACAGAGCACCCCCACCTCACTCCATACCACATAATGCTAGTAACCAATGAAATTATTCGTTGCCACAGAATACCATTATTTTGGCAAGTTTTCTTTGGTGTTAATATTTTGTT